CTTGACTCTTTCCATAGCATTGGCAACATGCTAGGAAACAATTCCACTGCAGTGTAAAACACAACAGTTACAGTACCTCAAAGCACTCTGGGAACACAGCAAATCTCAGGCCACACCCCTTACTCTCCTGTCTTTATACCTTCTCCACTGAAATCTCATCCTCTTACCATCCTCTTTCAATTCAATACTAATGGCTCAGAGATCAATAACTTCTGTACAGACCTACATACAGACCTGTGTCCAATATTTTTATTCACTGTGGTGTGAAAGTGTGATCAAAATATATACAATGAATGTTTACATTAAAAATGTATTACAGAAAAGTAAAAGACAAATTGAGTACAGGGTGTCAAACTGAAGACAGACAAGGTGTGATCAAAACATACAGTTAATTTATAAATTTTAAAAATTATTTCAGTAAAGAGACACTTTGCCATTAATTCCCGTCAAAATACTCCCCATTTGGATCAAATTTATCCAATCATTCTTGCCACTTTCTGAAACAATTCTGGAAGCCTTCTTTTGTAAATTTCTTCAAACCACATAATGGAAAATATGGTGAATGCTGCTGCTAAGTGACAGCAGCAGAAAAGCAGACTTATGGAAACATTAATTTCTGTATGTCCTCATCTACCTTATTCATTGAATCTGGTATCATGTGACTTCTGGCTCTTCCACAAAGTCAAAATGATCCTGAAAGGTAAACATTTTGAAACAACTTAGGATATCCAGGCAGCTACAATGGCACAACTTAAAGGCACTCACAAAAGAGGACTTCCAGAACTGCTTCAGAAAGTGATAAGAGCCCAGAGATTTAGCTCAGTGGTTTCGCTGCCTGCTGCGCAAGTGCAAGGACCCGAGTTCGATCCCTGGTACCAAAAAAAAAACAAAATCAGAAAGTGATAAGAATGATACATGTGTTTATAATGGGAAGAGGCGTATTTTGAAGGAATTAATGACAAAGTATCATTTATTGAAAATTTTTTTAAATTTTAAACATTCACTGTACATTTTGATTACACATCCTATGTCTTCACTTTAATACCCTGTACTCCTCAAAGTCAACAGAAACTAATAATAAGAGGTAACCTTTATTGAGTATTTAAAATGAACCAGGTGCTGTTCTATGTGCATTATGAATTAGGTACTAGTATTATTTACATTTTGAGTGCAATAAACTAAAACAGAAGGACTTAAGTTGTTCAGTGTTACATAAATTAGTAACAAGGTTACTGGCAGAGCAAGGTTAAGGACCTAGGCAGTGGTGGCCTCCAAAGCTAGAGCTCTTACACACTTACACCATCCTCTCCCCAACTCATCACATACCAGCTTTTCAGTAGAATATAGTTCACTGATTAACTTGCATAACAGCTTTGGAGCCCACAGCAAGAAAGATCATCAAAATATTTAAAAATATTTGATTCAGTAATCTAGTGAGGCAGTATGGAATATCATTAATAACCTGATTTCCAAAATCACTAGTCCTAGTTTCCAACCTATCTCAAACTATTTCATAAGTATATGGTCCTGGGTAACGTATTTGACTTCTCTGTGCCTCACTTCCTTAGCCATAGAATTGAAATAATAGGATACCTGCTTATAGGGTACTATGATGATAAGTATTTTCTGATGCATTTGATAAATGTTAGCTTTCATTCTCCTTATTTTTATAATCTGAATCACAAAAGGAAAAAGTGAATTTTGAATAACAAATCTGAACTCTTGCTTTCAGACTGTAAACTGTAAATACCATCTCCTATTAAAAATAACCAAGATTCTTTAGAGACATTGATGATTCCAGATATGGACATGAAATGCCTAAGATGATTACGGGCATGATGTCAGTCATAAAACCAAAGAAGCTACCGAAACCTCTCCAATTCATGGTAGGAGACAGAAGCCACCAGGAAGAGGATACAACTGACCAAAGATGAAGGAAACCGAATATAAGAAGAATAATGACAATAGATTGAAATACATTGTGTGTGTGTGTGCATGCATGTGTATTCGTCTACATAAGAACTGTGTAAGTCTATAATGATACTCTGTAAAAACAGCCACAACAATTCTTAAATATTGCTAAGGCATCAACATATTATTATGAAAATTAACCACTAAAGGTGATTGCTCAAACATTTGCCATGTATTTGTTAGTAACAAGGGAAAGACCTCTTTATAGAAAAATCATCACTAAAGAAGGAGAAAAAGAATAAATACTGGAAAACAACCCTTTGGTTACTATTATGAAATAACAGATTTTGGAAGCAATTCTTAATGGATAACAAAATAGGTGAAAGGCTATGACAGATGGATTAGGATGATAGTTCCCAATCCTACTGATTAATTATGACATCACTAATAGTGAAATACCTCAATATTATGTTCCTTTGATAGGAACATATAAATACACAGCACTGCCTATGCATTCCTTTTACCAAAGTTGAACCTGAATGTGAGTCACTGTATAAATATTAGTTTACATGAAATATCAATAATAAGGAAAATCATTTTAAAACATGATATTCCTGCAATCAGACAAAAATCAAAATATAGCAAGTTCTACAGCAGAAATGACCCCAATTGTTCAACATGTATATGACATGAGAAATTGGAGAAGGTATTATAAATTTAAAAGAGACTTAAGGTATAGTCAACAAAAGGCAGTTTGAGACTTTGGATTTTGATTTGAAAAAGTTAACTGTAAGAAAGATATCAATCAGCAAAATTTTAAAGAATAATGCATTTCGATGGGTGAAGCAAAGGTATATTATTATCTTCTTAAAATATATTTTAGAGAAGTGAAATATTTATAGATTAAATTACATGCTAGGATCTGCTTCAAAATACTCTTGCAAAAGAAAACAAAGTGAGGGGAGTTCTTTCTCCAGGAAGAGAAGGTACATGGGTAAGGCTAGGAGGAAAATGAATGTGGTTATGAAAAGGTCCTGGTGAGGGAGGGGTCTTGGTGGGGAGGAAGCTGTCCACCACCCTGGTAATGATATCGTACTGCCAGATCTAATTATGAAGGGACACTGTATCAAGGGTACAAAGGATTTTTCTAAACTATTTCTTACAGATGCGCATGAATCTCAAAACAAAGTTCAATCAAAAGAAAGAGAAAATATGGTGTGGCAGAAAATAAATGAAACAAGAATGGCAGAAAAACTGATTGTTACAGAAGAATTTAACAGAATGTTTTTCATTTCATTGAAAATTTCCACAACAAAAAAGTTTTTCTTTTAATTTTAGGAAAGTAAACTACATTTCTCTGCCGAGTGGACTCATCTTCTAATTTTTCCTAACTGTGCTATTTCAAGTCTTTCAAAACTCCATACCACTAAGTCATCCCCCACACTTACTAGTTTTTCATCTACAATACTATTTTTCCTTTTACTCCTTTGCATGTACAGAAACCCTCTCCCCAGAATAAAGTCCTTGCACATCACAATCGCTCCACAGTCAGTCCTCAGCAGCCTCCTACTCTTCTCCTAGAAGCATCTCTTCATGCCTTTTATTTCAGCCAACTAATCTCACTGGCTCATTTATGCAATTTTGGACACAGTGCTTTTGCTTAGGCTCCTATCTTACCTGCTACTCTTTCCTTTCTTCAATGACCTAAATTCCACCCATCTTTTTAAAAAACAAATAAAATCCACCTCCTCCTGAAGCTCCCCCAACACTTAAGATAACTCCAGAGTTCTTCAGAGCAAGAATCCTGTATTGTATCACAATATCTAGAAGATTTTCTGATACACTGTAAGTTTTCAACAAATAGGTGTTTATTTAACTGAATGAATATATGATATGAAGCCTCAAAGAGGTCACTAAATCACACAAAAAATGAAAACGAAGTAGATATGTTAAAGAGATGTAAAAATAAAAATTGGAATTCATCACACTTGAATATCAGACAGCAGTATGTATATATAATTGGCTTGGGCAACTTATTTAACATATCCTGGCATTTGATTCCAAAATGTAAAGTGAAGGACTTGACTCCCCACTTCTAACATGCAGATATTGCACTTGCTTCCGGAAAAACTCTCCCAGTGGCTTCCACAGATTATAACTTGGGAAAGATATTCCTAAACATTACTCATCAACAGAGGGTAAACTTTACATGAAACACAAGCAAAACAGTACCCCTGATTCATTAGTTTTTAAATAAAACAGAGTCAATGAAAATAAGTTGCATGATGACTTTGGAGATCACAGGAAGTGGGGCCACCACATCTTCTAACGATACCGTATTACATTCCTTAGGGCTTCCTGCATCCCAGGGGAAATGCAGTCTCTCTGCTTGTAGCACTAAAAGTCTGCCATCCCTTAGTTTGGGCCTCACTGTCTGGAATGTATCATGTCAGGAAGAAACATTTTCTGTTGAAGAGGATGACCTTGTCTAGAAACCAACATGGTTCCCAGCACAACAAAGCCGAAACTCATCAGGACTGAAAGAACACTGACAAGAATACACAACGAAAGTAGATGCTATGAGAACAAATTCTACTTTGCCTTAAGCAAAGAGTGTTTTTCTCCAGGCAAGCCTTTTGTGTGTAAGAAGGTCATGCCTCACAGTCTGCCTTTCAGGGCCCAAATGGTAGAAGTCTAGAAGCTGGCACAGGCACCCCTCAACAGATTCCCTGGGAATGCCTAGGCTGGAAGAGAAGAGAGTTGCAGAAGATTCAGCGGTACCCTCCACTGGCACTCAGTGAAATTCAGGCGAGCTGCTGTCAAAGAGAATATCATTAGCACATGATGAGGAGGAGACATTCTTGCTCAGGAACTCTGCCTTCATGAGGGTGGGGCTGCTGGTCCCTTAAGAGAGCCCAAAGAAGTCAAGTAATGGGTCAATGCAATGAAACTGGAAGCAAACATGGGACCTACAGGATGAGTGAACAGAGGTTGCAGGAATCCAGAATCTAGTCAAGGGGAGAAAAGCAAGTAGCAACAGTTGATTTTTCTCTGCACTGGCCCCACAGCATGAAAGTCCTGGGAGTTACCTGAGGTTTCTTCACCTTAATGATCCACGTGGGTGGGACAATAACAGCAGCATGGGCCCCCAGGGAGCAGGGTTCCTCAATGTGATGCAGCATGAAGCAGGTCACCTTATTGTGAAACTGAAGAGAAAAACAGGCTAAGAAGCAATTCTGGCCAGAAATGGAGTGAGAAGGAGCAAGTTCACACTTAAGTCTGTGCATGCACAAACACACACATACATACGCTACAGACACATGATCCTCGTCACCGTCCAACTAGCCCCAGGAACCTAGAGACCAGATTCCCAATTCATTCCAGCATAAGTACTTACCACAGTGGTTAATAAGAAATCAACTTAGCAGGACAAGGCCTGTCAAAACTTTCTAACCTTTTAGTAGGATATTTACATAAAGGTGTTAGAGTCTTAGAAGGTTCTAGTAATCCTAACTTTGTACTCAAATGTTTCCCTTGACCTAACGCTGGTCAGAGACTCTGATGATTAAGAATAATGTGGAGGAAAAAAATAAAGAAAAGCAGAAAGACAATGCCTGCTCTCTGCCTGTCCTTTTTCTGTCAGAGATGTAAATACTCCCAGCCTCTTTCCAGTTTAGAGTTGCCAGGAAAGAGACAGGATGTCTCTTCTGGAACTCATTAATCCCTGAGGTAACAAAATACAAGGAGATTGCTTCTGTGGGTTCCTCTTGACCCCTTAAAAGTACAGTGGCCCTATTATACTTGGCAAACCTAAAGTACTTTTTGTTTTTGAAAGGAAGGAAGTAAATGTAGACCAGTGATCATAACAATACCTCAGTATGAGGGGCTTAACTGTACACCCCAGCTGCAAAACTTGAACTGGTGACTGTAGGCCAATCACATTTTCAATCTTCTTTTGATTATAAAGGGATAGTGATGTGCAGTAACATTTATTTTCTAATAAACATAAAATCAACATTATGCAATAATTAGGGGACGTAAATTTTAATCACAATGATTTTTTTAAAAATTAAACACCAGTTTCTGTTTGAATTATACTTATGCCAAATAATTTATCATTTTAATTGAAACAATTTTTTGAAATGAATAGATGCAATTTATTATGCACTCAATTCCTTCCTTCATTCCTTCCTTCCCTTTCCTTCTTTCCTTCCTTCCTTCCCTTTTTTTCTCAGTGCCGGGGATCAAACTCAAGACCTTAAGCTTGCTAGGCAGGGATGGCACCACTGAGCTAAATTCCCAAACTAGAACAATTTAAGAATGAAAGAGATCACTGATAATAATAATATTGGAGCAACAGACAATAATTAGGGCTATCTCAGGAAAACTTGCAAATATGGCCACTCTAATTTTATTGCAAAACATCAGAGAGACTTTGTTTTCATTTCTGCATATCTTCAAGATCTGCTGTGATCCAGTGGCTAATTACTAATCAGCCAATTAAATTAAAAAACTAAGTGATAAAATAATTAATAACCCTCCCTGCTACCAGCTATTTGTGATCTGCAAACAATTAAGTATACCAGAGAAAATTTCAATGCATTCTTTACATTTTTTTAGAAGTTGAAATAAACCCTCAAATACATGACCACTGTATTTCTAAAATAGTAAGGATCTCTGAGATTGCCTTAGTTGGTTCTCTCAACTTATAGTTGGACTAATCTATGGACTAAGAGGTAAATTCAAGACTGTTATGTTTTAAATGATGGCAGCAGGACCTAAGTACAGTAAATCCAACTCTCAGCCCAAGGTTCATTGCCCTCTACCACAGAGGGTCACTTACTGGTTTGTTTGACATCAAATATCTTAGGAGGGATTACCAACACTGTAAAATATACAATCTACTTTGCACTGTAATTTGAGTCAAAATATTTTGTATTTATAATCCTTGCAAAATCACCCTCTATAATGTGGAAAGCTGAGAAATACAAAGATACATGGAACTGACCAATGGCCAAGTTCAGTCTTTATAGATTCAGTTGGACTACAAATTAATGAAGAGAACACACATGTTTACCTTAAAGTGAGGCTGTTTCCATAGTAACAGATCCTGGATAAACCATCTCATCCCAGCTTGATAGCTACACACAGGAGGAGACACAGCCTATCTGAGCACACCTGGCCATGATGTTGTCCCCTAAGTGGGGTCTTGCCAGATCTTGGATAGCATTAGGGACCCCAGACACCCGATAAGCTCCTTCTTCCACAAATGGAAATACTGTCATCAAGACAGAGATCACTAAAGCTCAGAATATGCTCTTGAACACAAAAAGGTCATGTATATGACAAGGAACTGAAAGGAGAAGGAAATATCAAGAACACAAAATGTGCCAGGATGGTGACACAGCAATCACAAAGCTTCATAGTGACAGAAGGTTCTTCTGACATGTGAGGTCAGCCAAAGAAAATTATGCTAGCAAGATTATTACAATGGAATTGCCATAATGCAAATGGTTTTGATGACCAAAAGTATCATCTTCCAATATTTCAAATTAGATGTTGCTGGCCTGTAAAGCAAGTTCAATCTGATTTTTGTGGAAGGATGAGGTTACCCACAAATCCTTAATCTAGCAAAAACACTACAGCCGTTTGTCTTCAGGTCCTCTATGCAAGGAAGGAGTGATATGTCCCAAGTCACATGATCATTCAAAAGAGGTTGGCAAACATTTTCTATAAAGACCTCATAGTAATTATTTTAAGCTTGTGTGTCCATTCGTCTATGTTTCAATCACCCAACTCACCCAATGCAGCAAGAAAGTAGCCATAGACAATCCATAAATGCAAAAACAACCACAGATAATACATGAATGATTTAGGCATGGCTGTGTTCCAATAACATTTTATTTATAAAAATAAGTCACAGCTATATTTGTGCCTGCGGGACATCATTAACCAAAACTACATGTCAATTAGTATAAGGACAACTGCACCACCACACAAACCTAGAGATGAAACAACCAGCATTCACTCTTCATATTTAGCCCCATAAAGCCACTCAAACCAGGCCTAATTGCACATGCCTATAATTCAGCACTCAGGAGGCTAAAGCAGGAGGATTACCACAAGTTCAAGGCCAGGCTAGGTTACATAGTGAATTCAAGCCTGGACTCAATTGCATAGAGAGACCCTGACTCAAACAAACAAAAAAAGTCACTCACATAAAGACCAGAAGACCCAGGATGCCTAGCCACCTGTGCTAGAGAGATCTCTCATGGTGCCTACTGCATTGTCCCTAAAGTTGCCCCTTCCCACCACCAGGGGAGCTCTCAACAGTTTAGTGGAGAGGAAATAAGAGTGTAGGAGTAAGAAGCCCTCGATTCAGTCCCAGAGGAGGATTTTCTAGTCTTTGATACTAGACTTTAATATATTCAAAAAGAAGGGATGAGTATATTTCTAGAATTTTTCCCAGATCATATATGCTAATGTTCTATAGCTTTACTATCTTTCTTCCGCAAAGAGCCTAGCTGAGAAAAGGAATAGATTCAATTAATGTAACTTTCTATTCGCAGACAGGAACTCAAGCATTGACATAAGTCTGTTCTGATCTCACGTGAGCCCACATTGTTTTATTTCATCCCAAACTTACCGCCTGCTTGCACCAGGAACAGCTGATAGCCACAATCTCTTTACTGTGGAAGGAGAACTTTTGCTGGAAGCCCTGGGATATTAGGACAAGAGACAGAAAATTTTAAAACCACCTCAATCACAGCAATCATTTGCCCCCCACCACAGAAGTTCAATAAAATGAATTGTCACCCATCACTGTGGTAACCAGAACTTCAAGAACCACATTCAGATCTGTGCTCTCCACCTTCTGCCGTGTGATGATTTTTACTTCTGAACCATCCAGAATGTGAGAGGAGGCACTGGTATTTCCTATGCCACTAACTTCTCTAAGAAAGCCACACAAAAAAACCTTTCTTAAATATATATATATATATATATATATATATGAGATAGTTTTTAATACAAAGGAAATGTCGCCCTTGGTTCTATATAATTGCCATGTATTTCAGAGGCTCTATACAACTTCAGTATCTGAGAACTCAGAAAGAGAGAAATTGAGTATCAGAGAGACAGTACCTAGAAGTCAGGATCTGGGAGATGTCCGAGTGTAGTGGGAAATTTGGCTTTCATCATCCCTTGGGGATGTCTGCTCTCAAAACAAGCATCTTTTAGTTCTTATTCTTCAACAGCAAGCAGCAATGAGAGCAACAGAATGGCAGAACCAGTCCTCTTAGATGAACAAACAGAATGACTCTTCCATCACGAATGGAAGAGGTGCTTTTAGCTGCTGTGGTCCCTAAATAATTACCAAACAGAAGTATACAGTAATGCTCAAAGATTTTCTTCCTGAACCTCAGCCATTTCTCTCCACCTGTAAAATCTAAACCCAATCAAATGCAGTGACGAAAAGTCTTAAAATAGGGCTTAGATAAGGTGGTCAAAAGAAAACAGAAAGGTGTGAACTGGATAAATAAGTCTTGCTTAATGCTTATAGATAACTTTAAGTTAAAAGTCAATTAATACATTATGAAAAGAAGCCCCAGTAACACTGACAGCATCCATAATCCCCACATGTCCACAGCACTTGGCATGCTATTTGGGATCACTCCTCTTTGAAACTCCCTGCTCCCTTATTTTCCCAACACTCACCCTAGTTCTCTTGTAATCACTCAGTCTGTTGCATGTGGACATCAGCCTAGAATTGGGTCCAGTCATCTATGCCCTACCATTCATCCTCTAGTCCTTCTATTTTGTTCTGGCCTTAAATAATCACTTCCATGAACAAGACTTCTTGATATCAGAGTCTCTTGAACACATGCCTCTCCTGCAAGTGATGAACATCACTATGCCTCCTTTTGTCCATGCACCTTCTCCCAACCAGAGGATTGCTTCTGAGACACACACTGGCTGAGGTGCTAGGTAGTTTTGATGTCCATGTGTTTGCTACTGCTCTTGCCTAAACACCATTCCATCAATTTATACACCAGATGGCTGCATGTCAAATAAAAGCCAAGGAGAGATGGCTTTTTATTGGCTGGGTGATCTTAGGCCAATCACTTCATTCTTCTAACTTCTCCCTTCATTTGAAAATGGGAATAATGATAGAAACCTCTCCTACACTACTAGGTTCTTATACTCATCAAATGCAGCAATGTATTCAAGGAGTCTATGACATCACGTTTTAAGTAAACAGAAAAGAGTACTTTTATTGGTAAGACCTATCAACAGGAACTTCACCTTGCTGAGAAAGACTGGTGTCAAATGTGGTCTTAGAGGCACTCTATTTAATGCTATAGGGGGAATGTATTCAGCTGCGCCATCCAATAAATATTGGCCTACAGGCTTCATGGAGGAAACAGATGCAATCCACTGTGGCACTGACAGCCAGACTGATACCAGAAACAAACAACAAGGCCAATCACAACTAGGGCACCGGGCATGGTGCTTATGCAGGATTGTGGCAGGTCCCTTGGAAACAGGCCTGCTGGTAATCAGCTCTGTGCTTTGTTTTAGATTCTAGTCTGGCAGAATCACAGCAACCATGGCTTCAGGGCTATTATCTAATAGAGAGACATAAATAGACCCACCCTGGAGCCCTCATGCACCAAGTTCCCACAGACCACCTGCCATGGGCAGGTTTTGGCCAGGCTCGCACGGAGCAGAAAAAAAAAACAGACCCCTAATCATACATGTTTAAATGCTGGCCCCAATCTGCTATTATGGTACCAACAGATGCCCCCACTGAATATCAAATGATGTGATTTTTAAGGGCTATTTTGTTCAGCATTATCAAAGAGGAAAACAGGGATGTTAGGCCAGATGCTTGGATTTAACTGACTTCAGAATTTAAAATATCAATGACTCTGAGTGACAAGGTCACTTTTTTTGGTTCTTTGGATTTATTTTTCATTGAGCCTTTGGAAAACAGTTTAAACAAGATTTGTTCTGAGCAGCTAGAGCTCTGCTGCCTCTCTTTCTTCTGTAATCTAGGGCATGTACCAAGTGGACTCAGCTTTACAGCCCTGGCTGAAACCAGAGACAAGGACAGTATATGAAATGACCAAAATCAGTTCATTGTTTTTGTATTTTACTGGGACTCGAGGTGGGGAATCTCTTGATCACAGGCTAATTCCCTGTCTGAATTAGGTCTACCCAACAGAAGAGTTGATATTCACTTGGCTAGAAATTTTAAACAAATAAGCCTTTCTATATCTATCAGTGCAACCAAAGATCACAAAGGGTTGCAAAGAGAAAATCCAAGGAAATTATAAAATAAGACTCATCAATTTTCCTCCATTAATATTGATCTAAAAAAATAACTTCAAGCATTTTAGCTCAAATGCTCCCTATGATTTTTTCAAATATATATATATATATGTATACTCTTATATGTTTTATATTTCACGTCTAATGTTTATCATAAGTTGAGATTTAAAGTTCATAATTTCTGGCAAAATAAGATTGAAGTTGTTAAAAAAAAAGATTGAAGTTGTAAAGTAAAATTGTTATATCACTCTTAATTGTATTTCATGGAATATAAATACGATAGTGACTTGGTACACGCTAATGTAAAGGGAAATTTTTCCACTTTGAGCAAGACTTTGCTAGAAGATCTCAAACTGGTTGCACTCCTTCAAGGCAACAGCTGAAGCTGGTAGGTAGCTGAAGCTGGTAGGTAAACAAGACTTTCTAGTTACCTGGGTAAGCACCCATATCAACCTAATTGAAAATTCTTTTATGACCAATTTTTTGAAAGCTTTAGAGTTAACCGATTATAGACTGATTGTGGACTAATTTTGCCTTAGCCAGAGTGCAAGCTTCAATCCTTAATTAGCAAAGCCATCAGGAACTAATCCCTTTCTTCCAATTTTAGTATATGTGCTACCAAAGTGAGTACCCCTTTCTTAATATATATAAATATTTAATTTTTTCCTTTAGCAAACTATTCAGTCCAGTTTTTCATTGACATTTGCACCCTTACCTGGCACCGTGAATCCATGGTAATCAGGATAGTATGATAGTATGCCTTTTTCTTCATTTTGAAGCAGTGTAAAAAACTGTTAGTTTAATATTCCAGTCTTGGGAAGACTATGGTTTATTCATAGAAAAAAAACTAATTTACCCAAAATTTCTAAATTTTCTATGCTGAGTTTGTGGATCTTAAACTAAATTTGTTATAAACATTTAAGATTTTCAAAATGTAAACACATGAATTAATCTAAATTGGATTATAATAGTCTTCAAATTGAATCATAGTAAACAATGTTCTCATACTCCTGACAGCACTTCACATTATATGAATTTACAATTACTTTATCAGAATTATCTTTGAAAAATTGAAATTCATGTCTACTCGGTTTAATCGTAGTATACTTTTTGGTGCTAATTAAAGACTCCGCAATTTGGGAGTGCTCATATTGTCCATACAGATCCATGATGGCCAACCTATGTATGGTAGGAGAGCTGCAGCAGGCTGCTTGTTATCACTGAAAGCTCTAAAAGGTTCACCATTACTGATACAGACTCTCAATCCTGGTGTATCACTGACTAACACCTATAGAATGACAAGCTCTTCCTCAATAGAGCATCCTGAGTTGTTGATATTTACAATATGTTACTCAGAGCTGATCAGTCTTATCATTCTTAGATAGTTTTTACTTTTTCCACTCATCTAGCTGAAGGTCCTGCTACAAACCAGCGATCATAAATTGAGTTCTCTGGAGGAAAAAGTAAAATATTACAGCACAAGATTCTCACTACAAATTCACACTGTTACCACAAAAGTGTCAGACCATATGAAGAGACTAAGAAGTGATTTCCAGGTCGTTTTCATTTCAGAAACAGATGAGTTCATGCAAGCAGACAGCTTAACCTCAGACCTTAGAACTAAGATAGACACTTCCAACAATAGCTATGATTTATATTTTATTTTACATGTTAACTATTTTTAGTCACATTATTTATATTTCATATTTTTATAACTATCCTGATTTTTAAGACATTTTAACAAAAATATCTTATACAGAGAGTGTTCCTTGGTTCATGAACACTTTTGTTTGCAAACAATTTGATTTGCAAAAGGAAATGTTTGGCAAAATTTTGTTTTTGTTCGCAAACTCTGTACTGGGTGACAAACACAACCACAGCCATCTTTCCCACACAAACACAAACTTGGCTATCTTTTCCAACACTGTAGAATAAATTAAGTTCATGAACAAAGGCACCACTGTATTCAACAGTGACAAAACTGTATGTGAAACTTTTAGCTATTTGGTTTATATCACAATCCTAGAACACCTGAGAGGTTTCTTAGATGAAAGTATTTTCTTAATGGTGCAACTAGGTATAATTATGATAATGCTGATCCATGAGAATTTAATTTCCATATCTGATTAACTCATAATTAATAGCCTTGCAGATTTAAATTATCATCATATGCGAATGATATTCACTACACAGGTTGTTGGTTTTTTTATTATTATTGGTACATTTTGGGTATACAATTCGATGACATTCATCATTGGGATCTTGTACCTTTACATGACTTAAATCTTGTACCAAGATTGGTTCTTATTTTTTCCCCATTCCCTTACCCTCCCTTTAACCCCTCCACCCCTCCCTATTTGCAAAGACTTTGTTTCCATTTTTTCC